TGTCAAGTTCTGCCCCCAATTGTGTGTGTGTGTGGGGGGGGGGTTATCCAAAATCATTACACTTTTGAAAATCTTGTTGTCAGTCTGCAAAGAATAATAGAGCAGATCCTTAGCTGTTGTACGCTGTCATACCTTTCAACAGACCTACCATAGTTGCACCAGCTGAGAATCTTCCCCCACCTCTCTAACCCTTGCCAAAAATCCTAAGGCTGATCACAATGAGCAGGACTGGATCACATTTGGTGTGGTAGAGAATGAGGGTGAAAAAGAATTTTGAAGGTCCACCTTGAAATATTAAGGCAAGCTTTGTCACAGACAGGGACTATATTTCTCTCTTGCACATGTGTGTGCGCGCTCTCTCTCTCTCTCTCTCTTTTTGCCCGTGTAGCTAGTGTTCTTGTTCGCTAATCATGCGGTGTGACAATATGCTGTTATCTTGCATGCTTGAGACTTTTGTGTGGCTTCCTTCCTTGAGGAATTTAACATCTAAATCATGGCTGATCATTCTTCCCCGGGATCTTTGCAATAACTTCTTCAGTCACACAGTTTATGGCCTTGTACTAGCACTAGCTTGTTTTGGAGCAGAGCAATATTTTCTCAGTATCTTCCCTACCTTGACTTTTTTACATTATATTTCTTCAATTGTCACTTTGTATTAATAAAAAAAGGAGCAGCGGTGCAGAAGGTTTGGGACCATGTTGAGATAAACTGAAATAACCCTCATTTGATGTCTCATTATTACTTTGGATTTATCTTGCTGTTATGTGATCGAGATGTGAAGGCTTGTATGTATGTTTAATAGATCTGCTCCAGGGATGAGGCTGCTCTCAGGAAACGAACCCTGTCTCTGTCACAGAGGGTACGAAGTAAGAAGGGCTTATTTTCCTCGCTCAAAGGGCTAGACACTTTGGCAAGAAAAGGGAAAGAAAAACGACCTTCAGTAACTCAGGTAAATGCCAGTTTAAAATTATTAAAAGGCTTGTAAATGACAGTACTGTAAAATTAAGTTCCTATTGCTATGTGTACATTGGTGAATAAGAGAGATTCTGACCCACAGGAGTAGAAAGTCAGTGGCTCTAGACAAGCAGGGCCTGAGGGTGTTGTGAGGGCAGTGCACTCTGCAAGGGGAGGTGGAGATGCCTGCAGCAATACTTTGGAGTGACCTCATGTGGCGGACATGCAAAGCAGCCCTGCTGGGTCTTGAGGAGAGCTTAGGCTCCGGTGCTCCTTCAGCCAGAGAGGAAAGGATGTGATGACCTAGGGGGCTAGATTTTCAGCTGGCATAAATCTGCACAGCTCCACTGACTTCAGTGGAGTTACTTCAGTTTGCACCAGATGAGGATCTGGCAGGGTTTTTCTGAATTGTACAGGCAGTAAAGGAAAGGAGAGAGGGAGTGGGGGTATCCCCAAAAACCCAGACAGAAACTTTTAACTGTCGTAGGGGAGGCAGGCTCATGCACACATTCAGAATGCTACTGTTTTCCGTAGCTTTATGCGTGCCTACCGTGTCAGTAGGGCTCATTTTGTAAAACCAGCTATGTGGGTCATTCATTAGTCCATCTTATTCTTCTGTTATTCCCCCAGTCTTGCATTTTACTTTTATTAAACAAAAATCCCAGATCATGTAGCATTTGAAAATTGGCTGCTGCAAATACACCAGTAATTTGCTTTCAGACTTTTTAAACATGTCCATCCATATTCATATCACAATAGCCCGAGAGCTGATGTAATAGATTTAATATTGCACATTAATGTGTCTGAGTTTTATAGTCTAGCAGTTCATATTCTGAATGGGTAAATATTTATCTACATGATAGACTAAGGGTGTAGTCTATTGGGTAGTGATATATTTCAGCATATCAGAGAGATTTGCTTTCATGATGAACGTAGGTAATAAATGACTGTGAGACCCAAGCCTGACTGAGCCCCTGGCTAATATCTATAGGGCTGGGAAGAGACACAGTGCATCCCCTGCCCACTATCCCTCCCTATTCTGACTCCATATGACTCCCCTTCATGCCCCAGACCCTGTGGAGAGGCCTCCACAGAGTTCAGACGGGGGATTGTGTCACCAAGGCAGCTATATCCCTTCTTTTTTGAGCGGAAGGGGGTAAATCTAAACATGGAGAGGAGGGCGCCTCCACGCTCAGATTTGCAGGCAAAAATCTGGGCAAAATGCTCCTTTCATTACCCTCACTGCAGGGAATTAGCACCAAGGGCTGGAACAAGCTGGCCCCAAATAAATCTCAGTTTTCATAGACTTTTTTTGTGTCTTTTTAAATTTACTTCACTTTTTATTTAAAATCCAACTGTAAAACTAAGGAAAAGTAAACACTAAGTACTGTGTGTCAGTAATACTAGGGCTCTGACTCATGTCCATAAACATGAAGAATTTAAGAATGATGGCTGAAATTTTGACCCACTGACCCTCACAGTTTGCCATAGAGTTGCATAGCCATATAGATAGAGCTATTCAGGGCCCAATCCTGCCTTCCTTGTGTACCTGTTGAATCCAGTAGGAATTTGGGATGAGCAGGGAAGGCATGAGTGAGTGCTGTGTTCACAGTGCTGTGGTTCCGAATCATCAGATTGTGAGTTAAGAAGAGGATGTCAGCCTTGACTCTGAATCTCCTTGTTTTCATTGATTTAATTCAAATTGAGTGTGGTTGTTCAAAATACTTTAAGCAGAAAGTCAGATAGCATACTCTCAAACCTTTTAAAGTCTCTTTTATCTTCAGCCCAATTTTATTTTATGGTATTAATTTAAAGTCCACCCTGGGAAGATTTCCAATATAAAATTGAATGAAGGGGTTAGTATTTTGTTCCCCCATTATTTAGAAACCAATCCGTTATGGAAACTGAATCCTGGCAGATGGGTGATATCAAGATTCACATTATCCCTGGTCTCTGAAACAGTTTCTGTTTCTTTGATTCTAAATTGCAAACTATTTCAAAAAGTCATACAAATAAGATACCTTGATTAGAGCTCTGAGTGGAACATGGGAAAGGAAGTTCATAAGTGTTGCTGTTTAGTCACATTTCAATACTGCATCATGTGTACATGTCAAAAGAAGAGAGTTTGGGATTGTCTTCTGTATTTTAAGACTTTTAACGGGGATGACCCAAAAACCAACACTTTCTAACAACAAAGTTAGTGTCTGATATTGTCCTACTTTGCTGATATCAGAAGTGAGCTAAAAATTACATTTTGTTTACATATGCCTTTTCGGGGATTGGTCCTATTACTTACAAGTGATAAAGCCATGAATGAAGTATGCAGGTCTGTCTATCTAGATACTATATGACACTAATCACCATAGCAACTGAGTGTATCCATAATCGTGAATGGCTTTTTTTTAGCCTCCCAGCAACTGTGAGTTAGGTAAGCTTTATCCCCACTTTGAGAACTTTAGCCTTAATTTCTCCATGCCTCAGTTTCCCATCTCTAATGTGTGGATAATACTCAGCTACCATTGCTTGTTATTGGTACTTGTTTAGCCTTCTTTCTATAAAGACAGACTTCTCTTACAACCATGAGTCCAAGCTAATGTGTTTTAGAAAACGACAACATTTATTTAGAATAGCGTTTCTATAAATAATAGTGACATGATTTGGCATGATGTGGTATTTCACAGGCTACCAGGACTGGAAACTGTTGGCCAGAGGGTTAGTTTGCCACTTGAAGATACTAGATAAATGCAACTTATCATGTGGATATAAGCAGCATATATAGATAGATAAGAATGAGGGAGTGTGAATGTGTGTGTGGCCTTATAAGAGGAGTCTTGCTGCAGCGTTCACTATGGAGAGAGCATGGATGTTATAATATATTCTCTTAGTCAAAATAAAATGGTAATGTGTCGCAAAAATAATCTATTCTCAGGTTGGTTGGTTAATGGAATGATATTTTGTTACCTTTCATCTTTGTTTAAGCACAAGAGATTTAGCTGTATTGGAAACTAACCTGATATGTTACATAGCACTTTGTTTGATTATTTATCTGTGCATTTGTTTTAATTTAGATTTTTGATTCAACTGGGGGAAATGGATTTGCAGGCACACAGCTACTCCAGAAATCATCCAACTCTACTGAGGTAAGATGAGCTAGTCTTTGTACTGCATCGTTAAATTTACTTTTAAAGTTCTGAAGGGATGTCACATAAGTATATGAAAAAAGCTACTTCAGAAACGTTATTGAATATCATCTGGTATTAGTTGACAGAACCACAATTTGATTTATAATCTGTTAGGGGAAACCACTCCGACATGGATTTTTAAATGTGTAAGGTAGACTTTTCCCTTAACTAAAACTTCCTATATCATCCTGATCCCCACTGCTACGTGTGTGGGTGTGTGGGTGTGGGTGTGTGGAAGTATTCATTTCTTTTATAGTATAGCCTAGACCAAGTTATTACTGAATTTTTGCTCGCCATTTGCCAAGAATTAGTTTGACAGAACCTGTATGTTTAAAGATTAAGAAACTGTAATATTACAGAGCCTGTATTTTCAGGTAGAAAGACAGAGAACCAAATGTGCCTGGCCCAGCGTACATGTGGGAGGGGATGTGGTGGAGGGCAGTAGAACTCTCCCCCACTTGCAGTAGCCTGCGTAGTGGCTGGTCACAGTCACAATCCTCCTCCTTAGTGCCTGCTGGGATGCAAACCACTCTAAAGGAGAAGGGAGGAGATAGGGTTATGGGGAACTGACCTCTACCCTGGCCGCACAATTGTCTAGGAGCAGAAAAGAGCATGGTCCCCCCCTCTTCCTCTGAGGTGATGTCGCTCTGCACTGCCCCTGAAGCAGAGCAGTACACTGCATAACTGCCACAATTCAGTCCTTACTGTTTCAATGTTAGTTGTATTTGCAGGTACAATGAGGACTTAAAATGTACTGTAGAATCTGGATGGCATCAGGGTCATTTTGAGGGCTTTCCAGCTCCTCTCCCTTCTTAGGCTTGTACAAATATTCCCCTCTAATTAAGATGATCACATTTAGTTTTGTTGCATGGCTTGTTTCTGTGAGCTTATACTTTTAATTCTCATCTGTTAAGCAGAGATTTTTACAAAACATCAGAGATCCTTTTTAATTACTCTTCTGGCCTATCATTCATTTGCGTGCCTAAAATCACTGGCAGCAAATGACTCGTATTCTTTCAAGCTGCAGACCTTTGTTTGCTATAAGGACAAAGCAAGTGAATGCCAAATATCTCCCCTCCTGCTATGCATGGCAAGGAAGTTCTCACTGGTTTAAAAGAGAGAGGGCAGGACTAGCCTTTGGTCAGTAAACTAGGTTGATCCAAGTGGTTGGAACAGGCGTGGGCAAACTACGGCCTGCGGGCCAGGTCCGGCCGTTTTAAGCCCACGAGCTCCCGTTGGGGAGCGGGGTCTGGGGCCGCACCACACAGCTTGGCCATGCTAACCCATTTTTTATGGATTTGTAATCCAGACAGAAAAAGCCCTCTCCATGCAAACTTGCTTTTGTGTGAGCAGGATGTAGGGCCAAACCAATTGGTAGAATTGAGGCAGATTTGTTGACGGATTGCTGTAATAGCAGTATAAGCCACAGGAGTCATACCTGGTGCAACCCTTCTGAGGGTTTGCAGTACTAAGGATCAGGATTCTAGGGCTAAATTTTGATTAGAACATAGTTTGGTTCCCTTGAGTATCCCTCTGGACTAAAAGTCATAGTTTCTCTCCACTTTACCCTTTCACTCACTCTCATTCCCTGGACCAGGTCATCCCCTAATGTAATTTTAAGTTTTAAAGAGCTAAGAAGAAATTATGCCACAGAACTATGCTCCCTATGAATTTGTCTACCTAGTATTAGATGAAATCTGCATTTAGAATGAAACATTGCACTTAAAAATGACTATAATGAAAAGCTGTAATGCAACTCTTGATGCTACATAACATTTGAGACTTGGGAAAAGTTTTGTTATAGCTCATGGCTTTTTATGCTGTAATTTCCAGTTATGATGAGCTGTATGGTTTACTTCCCTCTTGTGAGTATTCATTTAGTGGCAAGATAATAAAGAAATATAAATATAGATTTCCGTAGAATTATGCAAAAAGTTATACCACAGAATTTTCCCAATGATGGTACCAAACCCTAGAGTGTTGTTGTGCCTATGAAAATCATCTCTAACTCATGTGTTCTTTGATGAAAAAAATCAATGAAAACAACTGTTCTTTCAGCTGTGTAATGCCTGTTATTTGCTGAATACTGTGGGAGGAGGGGGAATATTTATAGAAAGTCACCCCTCTCTTTTCAATAGGCAGTATACATACGATACATTGTAATAATATGGGATTTCTGGGTCAAATCATCCCCTATAGAGAACTTACAATTCCCTCTGAATTATTCCATTGGGTGTGGTGTGAGGTTTGCCTCCTTCCCCACATCCCACAGAACTGATTGTAACAAATCTGTGCTATAGAAACCAGACACAACAGGATTCTGGCCTCTAAACCTGAGCCTCCTGGTTCCCTCAGGTCTCCCTGACTCACGTCTCCTGAAAGAGTAATGCTGCCATGGCCTTCATGCCAGCCATTGACTCTAGCCCCTCTTCCGACTCCAAGGCCAGGGGATTCACTCTGCCATGGGCTACACTGAATAACCCAAAACTGAATAAAACGCATGCGGTTACAATACTCTCACAGGGCTGGGAGGGAGAGACAGCAGACAACCCCGGCCATATCCTTGCACCACTTGCCCCTATCCTCCAAACAGGCAGAACCTGAAAAATGCTGAGCTGAGGGGTTTTTTGAAGGGGTTGCAGGGAAGAAAGGAATAATCTATGGTCTTTCTTTGCCCTTTCATGCTACCTCAGTACATCTGAGTCCTTTCCACTCATGGCAGCAGAGGGATAACAAATCTAGACCTATGGCTGCTAAATATGCAAAAGTGGGGCATTTGTTTCTAGACTTTTTAAGGGTTCAAAATATGGCCTATGCATTTTTTTAAGATCCCGATATTTTGATGAATCGTACTACGATTCAGAAGTGAGTCATCATAACTCTCAAAACCGTTAAGGTTGGAGTCAACCCAGTTTCATTAGCCAATTTCAAATAAAAATCGAAAACAGTCAAAACCTTTCATAAGATGCTTCCTGCCGAATGCAGTAAAATACAAGTAGTGAAGTGTTCCTGGTAGCTTTTCTGAGGTGTTGCTTATGAAGATGGTGACAACAAACAGAGAAAGATGGGAAAATCATGAAGTATCCTATTGCTCCTCAAGCAACACTGTGGCATAGTGTATGACAGTCTGAAAGTCCTGGCACGTGTTGCTGGAAAACTGGATCGGTTGTTGTAGCTTTATGTGGCAAGGAATGAATGAAGTATTGTAGTATTAGTCACTGCAGGCATAACAGAAAAAAAATCTCATTTAATGTCAGAGTTTCTGAAATGGAAAATGTGGGTGAAGCAACAGTATCTTGACCACAGCTAAGGAATATGTTTGTAGTTTAATATAGAAAGACTTAAGTTTTCCTCACATCAGGCCCTTAGTAATACTTATGTTTGAGCATCAGTATACATGGTAAACAGATTATTTTGGATCCCTAGCAGTTTATGTTGGTTAATAAAACTCTGAATCCTATAATTTAAGGGGGATTGTGTTGGGGTGGGGAAAGATGCCTTTAAATAATGTTTTCCCCCATCTTACTCCTCTGTTGAATTTTTCTCCACCAATGATTGTAGTGAGATTGATTTATAATGGGCAGACTGAAGGGCTGATTTCCCTTCAATAATCCAACTGATAATTACAAACCACTGAATTGCTAGTAGCATCTCTGAATTGACATACAGGGTTGCTTCACCTTGCTCTCCAGGAAGCACACTGAGAATTAACAGTTTGATACATGATATCAGGATTCTTAATTCTTGCAATTTGTCTTTCTTGCTTTATCTCTTTTTCATCATTTGTACAGTTGTAGAAGCTCATAGTTGATTCCTATCCTCTTGGCTTCTCGGTGCTTTCTGATGTGAGTATAGTTCTATAGGAATTATCATCCTATAATATAGCAACTGTTCTGTACGAATTATGGTACTACAATCAATGAGGGAGAATCTCAGCAGATATAAATTGTCATAGTTCCATTGACTACAGTAAAGCCATGACAATTGACACCAGCTGAGACTCTGCCCTTAGTATCATTTTTCTAGCTGGTAGTTTGCCACTAGGAAAGTATGATTTTTGAAAGTCATCAAAATGTGGCTCTTTATAAAATAATTCCTGCTTCAGGCTTCTAATCTGGCTGGAATTTATATTTATGGGTAATGTGGTAAATACACTGATGTGGCTGTTTGATATGCCATTTTTACTGCCGTGATTGTCATGCATGTCAAGAATAACAATGACATTGTTATTATTTGTTGAGTGTGGTCATTATGTTTGGTGCTGGGCCAATAGAGAGGGAAACGCAGTCCCTGCCCAAGGCAGCTCCACTATAAGGATTCCATTGTGGCTTTTAATCACAGCTCTGCACTGGGCCCCTGGGGCTGCACGGCCCCTGCAGGTGCTCCAGGCAGAATTGCATCTCCCAGGTTTCCAAGTGTACAAAAGGTGTGCACACACTGTTACCCTCCCCTGCATAGATGGCTGGCTTTGCTAGCTGGTGGGGAGTGGACAGGGTCATGGCCTCACCTCCGCTTCCCCTCCTATTTTGATGTGGCTCACACCATGGAGCAGATCCTGCACTCAGAAGAGTCCTGGAAGCTCTGTTTGTGGTTGGGTTCTTTTTCTTGTGCTCCCTCACAAATCCCCTCTATTGTTTACATGTGCAGAGGCCAGCCACAATCTGGCTCAGAGTTCTGACACCTAATACAGTGGTTGAAGATCTAGTCTCAACACAGTACAGCTGTAGTTGTATTTTTCTTCTCCTTCGGTGGGTTACTTTTGAATCATAAATTGTGGCACAGAAGAAAGGGCAAAGATGAGCAAGATAGTAAAGGGATATTTAAGATGAATCAAACGGTTGTATAAATGTATACAAAATGGCTTTGTGTTATGGATTACCTCCACATTAAAGTTGGTTGTGGTTTGCCAGATGTATTTCATGTTTAAAGTTGGATTGAGCTTCAATTTGAGCCTAAGTAGTGAAAGATCACACTCTTCACTGTCTAACAAACAATATAATCTTAAACTGTGGGTATAGTAGGAGTAGTTTATGCCTCTGCTATGTTGTCTGTGATGTTTCTTGCTCCATAGTGTCCTCTGCTGGAAGACTACTAGATTATCTTCTTTTCTCATTAGAAATACAGTAGAACCTCAGAGTTACGAACACCAGAATTACGAACTGGCCAGTCAACCACATACACCTCCATTTGGAACCAGAAGTATACAGTCAGGCAGCAGCAGAGACCAAAAAAAAAAAAACCCCGCAAATACAGTAAAGTACTGTGTTAAACGTAAACTACACCTCTACCCCAATATAACGCGACCCGATATAACACAAATTTGGATATAACGCGGTAAAGCAGTGCTCCGGGAGGAGCGGGGCTGCGCACCTCCGGCGGATCAAAGCAAGTTCAATATAACGTGGTTTCACCTATAAGATTTTTTTGGCTCCCGAGAACAGCGTTATATCAGGGTAGAGGTGTACTTTAAAAAAAAAAAAAAGTTACTTACACTGTTCTCTTGAGCTTATTCTATAGCCTATATAATCATAACAATTTTTTTTCTGCATAGTAACGTTTCAAAGCAGTATTAAGTCAAAGTTCAGTTGTAAACTTTTGAAAGAATAACCATACTGTTTTGGTCAGAGTTACAAACATTTCAGAGTTATGAACAACCTCCATTTCCGAGGTGTTTGTAACTCTGAGGTTCTACTGTATAGTGATCTATTCAAAGTCTTTGATAAAATACGGTACTAATTGTTTAATCCTGTTTAAGGCTTTTTTCATTTGTTTACATAGGCATAATTGTGTAATCCTGTTTAAGACCTTTTTCCATTTGTGCATATATGTATAATCTTGCCATCTTAGGAGTGAATTTGAACTAGTAACATGAGATAGGTGAGTGAAATAGTATCGTTTGAATGCAAGAGAAATCATGAAATCAATTCTCTAAACAAAATCTGGACTAAAGTCAGTGATATTATATGAGAACTGGTAACGTAATTTGTTCTTCTATGACAGGAAAGAGCTTATTGTGATACCTTTGCTAAATGCACATATTACATACCAGTAGCAAACCTCCAGTATAATATATTATTGATATTGCCATATCTCCATGTACTGTCAATTTTTTCCCGTATTTTCAGCAGCAAGTTGATGAATTTTTAAACGTCTACTGCTCTGCATCAGAAAGTGGCCAGAAAGAGAGCGCTTGGGAAATCCAAACATATGTTCATTTCTGTGATAGGCCAGGAGTCACGTTAACCCTCAAGCCAGAACACAGAGTGGAAGATGTTTTGTCTTCGGCATGCAAGGTACAGAGTTCTCACACTTGAAAGCAGCTTGTGTGCTTTAAAAGGCCACCACTTATACTTGTGTATTAATTATTCTGATGCTGAAGCAGGGAGAGCCCAGTCTTTCTCTGAATCCCAGTGTCCCTGTAATTTAAGGGTTCTTTCTGTGTTTCTGGCAGTTCTGTTTAAGGCTCAGTGGAACCCAAGCAGCAGTGTCATGGGGGCCTTTCAAATGGTGGAATGGGCATTCTTTGATGCCTAAGCTAGCATGCAGTCAAGAATCTTGAAAGAGCAATAACAGCTGCACATGTTAAACTACCCAGGGGAACTCTTGACATATGTCCAGTCTGCCTTATATCACTGAGTCGTTACAATGAATAGAATTGGTGCATGGAAATTAGCTGTAGAGGAAGGGTGGTAACTGGTTGAGTTACCGCCGATGTCACAATGGCCCCACTTAAGAGTTACTTACACTGTTCCCTTGAGCTTATTCTATAGCCTATATAATCATAACAATTAGAGACAATAATCATTAATAACTTTGCTTAATTGGGACCTAATTTCTTCAAATAGAGACTCTGTAAGATTTTAGTTCTTTTAAACTATATGGAAAGTTGAAGTGTCTGCAATATTCCATTGATAAGATTATTTGGGACAAAGAAAAGACTGACACAGATGTTACGGTAATTTCTTAAAGGCCCTAGTGTTTTTAATTAATAAACTAACTAATGGATTTACTTATAAATTCTCAAAAAATTCAGCCTGTTCTCAGAATAGGTGCTGTAAGTTTGGGAGGATACGCTGTAGTTTTCATGCAAAACAAAGAGGTTGAATCACTGCTTAAAGGCAAAATAGAACTCTGCATTAACTATGGAGCCATGACCAGAGCCTTCACAACACCAAAAATAATGTAGGGTGTTAATCATCACTTGTGCCAACAGATTGAACTTGACTCTCTGAATTTGTGAATCAAACCATTTTCAAATTATAATGGAATAAAACAATAAATTTGGGGAAAAAACTCTCATTTTAAAAATCCCCACCATTTGCAAAAGAGCTAAATTTTAGGAAAGAAGGGCTAGGCTATTATCCTACAAGACTTTGGTGTGACCACCAGATGGCAAGACAGAACTGAAACATTTGGAAATGGATTGATAATGTAACACATAGAAGCCCTGCTAAAAGAAACAAAGAGATATAGATCTATAAAATCAAGTTTAAAAGTAAATTACTTGTGTTTCTCACTACACTGCTCCAAAATGTTTGTCTGTCTGTAGAAAATACTGTTTTGTTATGCCTGTATCACTTCAGTAGTCTAATAGTAAGTTACTTTATTTTAATGTTTTCTTTTAATGAAAGCTTTTTCTGTTTTATCTTTTCTTTCTATTCTGTATGTAAACTTTTTCATAAGCAGTCTGACACTTACTCCTTTCTGCTACATCTTTTCTGTTACTCTCTCCTTCTTACATTGCCATTCCATTCTGGTGAGGGTAAGGAATCTTCATTCTTTAACACAACACAACACATTGTTTAAAAGTCTGGGTTTGGGGGTAACATCTGATTTATTAATTTTTTTCTCAACCATATTTTGATGGTTTTCACTCCATTTGTATTCTGCATACCTAAAACTTTGCATAACTCACAGAGTGAGAATATACATTTTAATATAATTATTTAGAATACAGTGCACACATTACCTATACATTCTGTTACACATAATGAAATGTTCAGCTAAACGATCCTTCCTCGGTGAATTAAGATTTCACAAGCTTCAGAGGCTTGTTAAACAGAGAGGTGAAATGACCTTAATGGATGCAGAGATGCTTCTGTTCTGAAACATTGCTCTGTTAATTCTGAAATGCAAGATTTGCTGCAGTAGTCTCAGCAGCGAGCTAAATTTAAGAGACTGACTCGCCAGTGGCTCGTCTCTTTTAGGCTAGTATCCTTAGGGAATATTCCATTCCCCTTTGACTTCCTGCAGATATTAGGTTTTCACTTCGACTACATATGGTGAAAAGTAGGTGTTACTCACTGATGATAGATGAAACCTGGCAGTAAAAAGTGCAATAAAAGCAATCCCTTAGGAAATCCCTCTCTCCTAAGAGCCTGTATATGCATATGCATTTTCCACATCAGTTTTATGTTTTCCACATCTGTTTTATGCACAGAACTGAGCCGCGCAAAAGAGCCATAGAAAATGATGAAGATGTGTGCAAGTTCAAAAGGACAGAACAGAGTTCTAAGTTTATTTGAAAACACATAATGATGCTTGGTTAATCTAACAGCCAAGATGTAATGTTAATGCAAGTGTTTCCTTAGTATCCTTACAAGAAACTGAAAATCACACTGATGTGAGCTGGAACCGAATCATCTAGGCAATACAGACAATACACCACAAAACCATTTAGAAAATAACTTGTTGAAGATTGCCTTTGCTTAACTTCTAAAGGCTTTGTGTGTGTGGCTTCTTTGACATCTGGGATTCTGTTAATAAATCATGAATTTCAAATATGTTCTTTTCGTCCCTTAGATGAGGCAGCTGGAACCAAGACACTACGGTCTACAGCTTAGAAGATTAGTTGATGAAAACATTGAGTATTGTATTCCTGAAGCATATGAATACATACAAGATCAGGCAAGTTAGACTAATTTTAGATAAGAACTTCTCGATATTTGTAGCCACAGCTAAATTACACTCTATAAATGTCTGTGAATTAGATACAAAATGGGATTTTTAGATTAGATCACTATCACAGACTGTATTCTGCTACCCTTACTCACAGTGAGTTAAACTCGCCCATGTGCAGAGAACTAGAGATCTAGGGCATCACTTAAGCCTGGGTTTAAGCACTATTTTGAGGGTTTAAGTGGGACTTAATGGTGCCTAGGCCTAGTGCTGGTGCTCTGCACATGGGTGAATTTCACCCATTAGGTAATACCTTATTCCACAGTTAGTCCCACTGAGTTCAGTGATACTTGCAGCATAACACACTTCTCTAATGTGAGTAAAGGTAGCAGAATCTGGCCCTTTGTTAATGGATTATTTAACAATGCAGCTTGTTTTTTTTTAATAATTAAAATGATACTGATTTCCATGAAATATTGAACCTTTGGCTTTTGCAGTCCTACAGTTTCACAATTTGTGATGTTTTCTCTCTAACAGATATACGATGAAATAGAAATTTTTCCTTTAAATGTTTACCATGTACATCTTACTAAGACTGAGAATATACCTGATTTTGGTAAGTTTTAGTAAAATCCCTCCCAATGATTTTCCTTTTATTTTCTTTGTTCTTTTTGAAGCTTAATTTTTCCTTCCACGTGCTTTCTCTTTGTTGACAATTTTTGGTTCAGTACATGTTCAATATGACAAGTCTGCAAAGTGCACAAGTTAGCACTTTAAGGAAGACCCGAGAATTGCTGACTTTTTTTTTTTTTTTTTTTGGATTCCTGCATTTGGGGGGGGGCAAGTGAAAGGCTTACTTCCCCCTGCCACTTCATTGACCAGCCAGTAAAAGAGCTGCTGAAGAGTTGGCAGGCAACTTTCTCATGCTCAACTAAACAGAAATACCCAGCCTACTCTCAACATATGATTTCCTTTTTGGCAGCAAAACATTCTCTTGACCCTGTGCCAACAGGCTGTCACTCGACAGAAATTTTAACTGGCTTCTTTTCCCGGTGGGAGGGAATGGCTAAGAATATCCTTATGTTTGCTCATTGTGAAATGTGGACTTTAGTCATTCAATTAACAAGAATGAGCAAGGCAGTGGAGAAAAAAGGAAGGATGATAATACTGCAGAAGGAAAATTGGAACCGAAAAAATAAAATTGGGGTCCTGATTCACTCCCATTCAGGTCAATTCATTCCCACTAAGGTAGTCTTGCCATTGATTTTAAGGGCATGTCACCATGGTGCATTAGCTTGCATCAGAGAGGTGTAAATTCTAGCGTGTAGTAGTGTGTTGCACACTAATTGGCCTGTGCGGACCCTGCTGGTTCTCACTAAAAGTTCCAGTGTGCCTGTAAATGTAGTCTTGTTTCAAAAAGTATTACAGTAACACTCACTAGGGAATTTTTAGTCTGTGCTTGCAGGATCCACAGGGTCTAATTAACATACAACATGCTAGTGCACACTAGAATTTACAACCCTCTAGTGGGGACTAACACACCATGTAGACAATCTCTAATGTAAATTGGATTGGGTCTGAGATTATAGTCTCTTTGAGTCAGGGACTGAGACCAGAAGTCTGTGTGTGAGGAACAAAATGGAGAATTCTCATGGTATTGCAGAAGAACTCCTTTTCCATCATGCTGACTTCTGATCTCATCCACTTCTTTGTGTCAAGCATTCTCAGTTAGAGAAAGGAAACAGCGGCTTAGGGACAGTTCTTCGGGGCAAGGACTTTTTTTTCTTTTCTTTTTTTAATGTTTGTACAGCTTCCATCAGAATGGGGGCCTGATCCTGATTATGTCAGTTGTACACAAAAATGGGTTATAAACACACACAATTTTTGCATGTCTTCAGACACTGTTCTCTCCCAGTTTTTACAAGAAATCATATAAAATCCTCACAATATTTGTCAAAGTATTTTATAGACCTTCACTGGATCTGGTGATCTGTGTTATTGAAAAGCTATATCAGGCTTACTTGAACAAACAATAAAATATCTCATGATAACTATTTACATTGCTTTTAAGAGTAAAGAAATTTACATGAGAGAATTTGTCCTTAGGGTGTGGGTCTGCATAGGCGTGTGTATATACAAGTTGGGAGTGAGAATGTCACCTCTCTTTGATTATGTAGATTAAATCTACTGAACATACAAAACTAAATGAGAAATACCTGACCAGAAATTCACCTGATTGTTGTTTTAAGCAGACCAAGTGGTAAGGGTAAAACCATCTTTCTTCTTAATTCCAGGGTTTGCGGTCACAGCTCAAGTTGTTGAAAACCAGCATCTTACTCATATATTCATAAGTGATGTCCTTCCAGATGGACTGGCTTACAAAGAAGGTTTGTGTCATGGCTGTACTAACCACTGTTATGTTTTTAATTCCTTTTTATTAAGTAGCAAACTTTAGGGAGCTTTAAAATGGCCTGAAAATGGTTCTTTGCTTCTACTACCCTTGGTCTTCTTGCTTGATCACCATGTACAGTAGATGATGCTAGGTAAGATAATTTACATAAAGTGGCTGAGGAACCCTTCTAACGAGAGGTGAAGTGAAAAGAATGCTTGTCTACACTTGGGGCAAAATCTGCTCCCAGCACCCACACTAAATGTTGGGATCTGTACAGGGACAGAAGAGAGAAATTCTCCACCTCACACGGTGGAACCTCCCTGGCTCTTAGCTTCCCATTTGCCTGCACCAAGCAGTGGTATGCAAAAGGCTGGCTCCCAAAGAACTACCTTGTGCATTACATTGCAGGGTACCACTGAAGTTCTCTACTTTGTGGTGCTCATGGATTGTAGGACTTCTCATCAGCCTCTTAAGATCTCACCTTCCCCTCCCCACTGCTGAACCGCATCAATTCTGCTGTGTTTGGGACCATCTGCAAAGGAAGGGGAGAATTGTTCCCTTAGTCATCTGGAGTGCAGTGGCCAACTGGTTGTTGCTGATCCTAAAATGTACAAGTTGCCACTATTTGGATCTAACTGAACTCTCCCATAAAAACCTCACTTGTTAGATTTCCCTGTTGCAATTTTGCAAGAATGAACAAATCAGCCTGATAAAGCCCCTTGTGTTTCCTGAACTGGGATCCTAAAATAAGAGTTATTTTGCCTATAGGCTTTTCAGGATGCTGAGAGCCACCTTAAAATGAACTCGTGGTCTGAGAGTCTGTTTGATTCTTCTATCATACCCTTTTCTAAAGCTGCATGTCAGAGTCATCCTGTTTTAGCCTTTGAGTAGAAACAGCCATGTTATAGGTGCCAATCCTGCAGTCATGGCGCACACACAAAACTCCCTATGACTCCAGTGGGATAACTGCAGGATTAGGTCATTTGTATAAAAATCAAAATGCAATATAATTTGTTTTGTAGCCCTGTTCATCAGCGCTCCTGAATTCCCTTCTTATTTTCTTTCCTTTCTCATTCTCCTAGGGCTGAGAGTGGGCAATGAAATCTTGATGATCAACAGAGAGGCTGTGTCTGATCTTGACCTCAGGCAGATGGAGTTATTGTTTTCTGAGAGAAGTGTCACGCTCACGGTGAGAGCAAGTCATTATGGCCCTAAGCGAGCATTATGTACGTCGTGGTCAGATGGCGACATTTCCAGGGACCCGAAAAGCTTGTTACCCCCTCCTAACCAGTCTCAGCTACTGGAAGAATTTCTGGATAATTTCAAAAAGAACACAGCAAATGGTGAGGAGATGATATAATGATGATTGTATTACTTTTCCCTGGCCAGACAGTTATTTTAAAACTAGTTTTTTCTTTTTTATCCATTTTAAAAAAAGTATCCTCATGCTACAAGAGAGAAATCCAGTTACAAACTGTCTAAAATCCATTTAAATTTCATGCATTTCTGTAATTATAGTGATTTCCTGAGAGTAGCAATGAAACTGAAAATGCTCATTTCTGCAGGAAAATTATGTTCTTTTAACCTGTTTCACTGAATCATCCCAGTAATGCTAAGTACTCTGTTTTGCAATGTCAAGGCTTTATAACCATATGTGAGCATTAAAAGTTGAAATGGTGTCACTTTTAGGGGCAGGAGTTTTGCTGTACGTTTTAATATACTTCATTTGCGCAACTTACCATGTACATTTAGGGCACTATGAAAATAATAACAGTAATCAGCTGAAAATGGAGACATTTTACAGCAGCCTTCCCCACCAATCAGTATTTTCTTTAATGCATTCCAGTAGAATACAGGTATCCACTTGATATAAATGTATCTTTTACCTTGAGACACTTTTAATGTGATTCTCCAGCTACCTTCTCTTTGAATTTCTCAATCTTATTGTCATACTATCAGATAGAGGAAGTATGCTAAATGTATGGGGGGAGGGTGAGATTGTGGCTGTATTCTGCATGGGTGAACAAGATGGGGAGGGTGCAAAGATCCTTAGTGTTAGGACTGCTCCTGGCCAGCATCATGGACACCCATAAATGGACAGAAAAGTGGTGAGTGTATGATCCTGTTTTCCGCCATACCAGCTTGTAGAAGGTCGTACATGCTGCACACCCTCAAGGGTTGTAGCAGTGGGCACACTCCCCTTGGGTCTGAGCCAGTGCCTATAGAAGTCAATTGGAGTCTTTCCATTGATTCACTGGGAGCTGGATCATGCCCTTAGAGCACTATTGAGCTCTGTCAAGCATTCTCTTCCCCCACACCCTCATTGTCCGTGGTAGGCCAATGCCAGTTTTACCCATCATCTCATGGACTTTTTTGTCTAAATAGGAGTGAGTGGGGACTGCAGGACTTGGCGTTTTGTGAACTGACACATTCTATCAAATGCCACATCACAACCAAGCACTATAAACGTCACTGTGTTTGAGACTGCCTTGCTGTGTTGGAAGAAATGTGTTTTGTGATGTCAACATGTTTTTAAGATAATACTTTATATTTCAAGCAGTTTGGGGGGATTTTCTCCCCTGGAAAAATTGTGTGTAAAAGATATAAGCAGATTTAACTCAGTGTATCATGAATGGTGGGGGAAAAAAAGGTGCAATTCCCTCTTTATACCTCTGGAGGATGCTATTAAAATTCCACAGGAAACCTAGATCAGGTTCATTGCTGCATGAGGGAGTGGAAGTCATCTTTGTGCTTAAGTGTGGTGGCAAGTGTTTTCTGATCTTTAATCTTGGCATGATTTTAAAAAAAGAATAAAAAAATCACAAAGGAGAAGTTGATAGGATTGATTTAATTATAAAGTAACTTTATTAGGTCATCTTTGAAATTAAAAAAAATATATGATTACAAGATTTGCAATACCGTCAGTAGCATCTCTCAGGGGCCGTAGTTCAATTTAAAATACCATTAAATTGACTACTGGCATATAAAAGTTAGTGTCATAAAACAAAAATTATGATGGAACTAATTAATTAGTTATGTTAGGGCCATCACTCAGCTTGTTGGCTTGATATTACAGGCCAGCATTACCTGGAGTATTCAATATAATAAATGTATGTGTCCATTCACCAGATTCATTGTTTCTCAGAGACAGATTTGCAACTTCTGTTAATCTCAAGATATTCCATTATAATAAGATATTGCTAGAGTATATTTCATACTCTAGGCACTAAAATGTATATACTTACCTGATTAAGAAAGCAGTTAAGGCAGACTCGTTTACCTTGAAATGGGCGGGGGGGGGGGGGAAGGGGAAATGGTTCTAACTCAAGCTCTGTGAGAATGTCTGTCATCTAATTCAGTTCATGTGGAAACAAAAGAAAGTGTCACTACTTTGACTTAATAGGTAATCTTAATGGGTTTCATCCTTGTATTCTCTTTTTATTTAAAAATAACTTGGGTGTAATAGTCTGAACCCAGGCTTAGGTGCTAGAGACTCCTTTATAGTATCGAGGCATCAAAAATCAGAAGCCACCTTGGAAAACTGTGGTCTAAGTGACTCAATTAATATCACCCAGGGTAACAGTATCAGAGCCAGAGTTAAAACCAAGGAGATGTGGGAGGCAGTGCTCAGGTAGGTAGGGCGTCTGACCTGGAAGTTCAGGTGTGTACGGCGCCTCACTGCCTACACTCCTATTTAAACCCGTGCTAGCTGGGTGTGCAGTGCCTATCCTCTACACACTGCTGTAAGTGTAGACCTATGTTTAATCATGCTGGGTATCAACATCTGGCCTATAATGAAGCAGAAGTTACTATAAAGTAATCTTTTGAAAAACACTAACTTCATATAGTTTTAGTGATAAGGGTTTGTCTGAGTTTGCATTTATATGCTTGTAATTCCTTAGTGTCTTTATGATGAATGCAGTTTCCTACCTAATCCCTTGCATTGCAGACATGTCATTTTTACCTTATGTCAAAATCTGGCAACTCTTAGCAAAGAGAAGGGAAGAGAAGTGATTGGTTTTCCACTGCTAAAAAACAGTCATTGGGAGTTCAGTTTTCTATAAGAGTGCTGCTGAGCCACCTGTTTATACTGGAAAAGAAATCAAATGAAACACTGAAAACCCAATTAGCTGAGCAACTAAATTTGCACCTAGTTCTCTGTCCTAAGGAAGTTAAACAAATATTTGTAAAGAAGTAATAAAAATGAGGGAATTAGGATGGAATTTTTCCTATCTTGGAAAATATAGACTCTTTCCATTTCAACATGATGTAGATGTTGGAGAAATAAACAGCAGAGTTAATGACAAGAATTGAATACTATGTCTGCTAGTGTTTAGTGTGTCTATTTTTGTAATTGTGAATCTTCTGCTGACATTTGAAGTATGAGCTACAAACAGAGGTTGATTTGAATAGGTTTAAATCTCTATTGCACAGCAGTTTTCAGGAAATGATTTGTTGTTACAATATCTCAAGATCTTCATTTCCTCAAATTCAAGTTTGCCATACAGACACTCAGATAACAAGGTGTAGCATAAATGCCTAGACTAGGGTGACCAGAAAGCAAGTGTGAAAAATTTGGACCGGGATTGAAGGGTAATAGGCATCTATATAAGACAAAGCCCCGAATATAGGGATTGTTCCTATAAAACTGGGACATCTGTTCACCCTAGCCTAGACAGATAAATACCTTCAAGAGGGATGTCCCCCTCTTGACTTCTTCAGAGGCTAATTATTCTTCTCCAATAAAGATCAGGTAGCCCTGTTCCTATTGAACTTCCACCAGAAAGATCATTTGAGTCCAGCTCATGGGTGTTTGGGAGGAAATGGGGAAAACTCAGAGTGATTGACAGGGGGATGAACCAAGATGGCTATCTAGTAACCCTTACAGAAACCTCACCTGATCCAAAGCATTTCTCATTCTCAAAGTCTTGTATGTCTCACATTATAACAGCATAGAGAAAAAGAGAGACAAAGAGTTGGAAGAACTTCAAGCTGGTAAACTCATTGCTTCCGGTACCAGACCCTGACTGAAGCACTGGCTTTTGCCAGTTTCACAGCAGCCCACGTCTCTTTCTGTCTCCCTCCATCTGTTGATTCAGATCTTTCAGTAAATATGTGAAATATTCCTCACTTACACTGATGGCTTTTTGTAAAACACTGCCTTGAGGTGAAAATATATAAAATTACCCCAAAGTTAACATGCGTCTGATGAAGTGGGTATTCACCCACGAAAGCTTATGCTCTGATACATCTGTTAGTCTATAAGGTGCCACAGGACTCTTTGTTGCTATTCACATAATGTAGTTCTTCCTGAAGAAATTACCTTGCTCCTGTGTCTTTTGTTTGTGTTTCATGCATTTGAATGTTATTTATTCTTCGAGTAGTGTCTCTATGGGTGCTTCACTGTAGGTCTGCCTGCATCCCTGCGCTGCTGATCAGAGAACTTTGGTAGCAATGTCTGTTGGGCCCACACATGTGCTGTCTCCCCTCGGGCAGCGCCACGAGGCTAGCCAGTGCACGTGGGCTAACCATCCTCAGCTTATTCTTGACCACCCTTGGCTAGAGACGAAGCCATTAGCAGTCTGTTAAGACTATCATCTTAATCTTCTCACCTATAGTTACTTAGTCTCCTAGTTGTAGAATAGAATCTCTAGCTGTAGTTTTCCCCCTTTCTTTATTTTTACCCTTAAAAATTAAAAAAAAGTGCCTCTTGAATTCTGAGCCTTGCCCAAGAACTTGTGAGGCACACTCACTTCAGAACCACCTCGAGATTTAGAGGAACAGGAAGCTGGTACTGAGGAGAAAGAGACTCCAAGGACCATATCCTCCTCCTCTTCAGATGAAGCCATCGTGCCTTCTCCACCATCTTTGGTGGATGACTTTGTTCTCTTTCAGAAACTGGCAAAGAGGGTGGCAGGTATTCTCCAGATTCATTGGAGGAAGTCAATAATACCTACCATCGACTCCTTGATATCCTCTATTCTTCAGCCTCCTCAAAGATTGCCCTCCCAATTAATGAGGTCATTTTAGACCTGGCAAAGACTGTGTGGCAAACCCCGGCATCAGTGGCCCTAACCTGCAAGCAGCCGGACAAAAATACCATGTCCCCACTAAGGAATCTGAATTCTTATTCTCCTACCCACCACCCAACTCCATTGTGGTTGATGCTGTCAACTCTTGCTGCCAATAACACCTGTCAAGGGCCTCTCCCTCTGACAGAGCCTGCAAGCTCCTTGATCTGTTAGGCAGAAAAGCATACTCCTCAGCCACTCTACAATTTCATATCACCAACTACCAGGCCTTCACGGCAAAATACAATTACATAAATTACTCAAAACTGAAT